AGACACAGAGACACACAGACACAGAGACACAGAGACACAGAGACACAGAGACACAGAGACACAGAGACACAGAGACACAGAGACACAGAGACACACACACACAGCCACACAGACACAGACACGCACACACACAGAGGCACACAGACACAGACACACACACACACACACACGCACACAAACGCAGACACAGACACAGACACAGACACAGACACAGACAGACAGAGACAGAGACAGAGACAGAGACACAGACAGAGACACACAGAGACACAGAGAGACACACACAGACACAGACACACACGGAGACACACACACACACATAGACACACAGACAGACACACAGAGAGACACACAGACAGACAGACAGAGAGAAACACAGACACACACACACACACACGGACAGATAGACACACAGACAAACGGACGGACAGACAGACAGACAGATAGACAGACAGACATTTTGACACTCGCAGAAGGTCTTTGTCGCTGGGACCGGAGAAGCACGTTTGGGCGCACGAGACCCAGTGCGTCAGGACATGAGGCGCAGGCAGTGCCAAGTGTCGACGGTTCATGCCAAGGTTCGGAATGATGGCGCCCATCTTCTGTCCATCAAATGAGTTGCTCCCGGACAAAGACAGTTTGTTTTGCATAGTTCGGCTCATGACCGTGGAGGTCTCACAGTGAAGTGAATTCTGCATGCCCGCAGTGCGCGAATTGACCGCATTGGCTCGAGTCGAGCACATTGGTGCTTCAGGGGACGATGCTGGGGGCAAGGTTTGCTGTTTGCAAGACATCGCTGCTGGCCACGTAGCCGAAGCCTGACACGGTGTTAGTCGACGGAGCCCGAGCCGACATAGCTGTAATCGGATGGCAATGCTCATGCGCAGAATTGCTGCAGCTGGTAGGCATGAAGGCCACGCATTAGATAACGTTAGCCTGAAGTGTAGTGGAAGTGTAGTAAGCAGCTCGTGCCGGAGGATTTCGTGGCGCCAGGCGATGAGATTCAGGATCACTTGAGCTTGGAATCCGACGAGGGATTGGACTTGTTCCTAAGACTTGACAGGATGTGCCAGAGATGTCCATTCTCACAGGCCCCGGTGATGCACAAAGTTGGAACCACAGCTATCAACTGGCAGACTGGTGCAGGTGTGACGAAACGCATCAAGAAGCACGTCGAAGACACCAAGGTCCCTGCAAGATTTTGCGTCGTGTCCATTCTTGCATACACGGACAGGTTGCGTTTGCTTCTGGTCCAGTCGTTTGGCATCTCTTGTTGCACAGTCCGACCATGGTTGCTCACCGGCATCTTTGCTTGTTCAGATTGTCGCAGCACCAGATATCCACACATCTCCACTTCTGAGGTACGGGGTCGTGCGCACTCATGAGAAACGTTTTTCGCCAACAGCGTGAGTTGTCGGGTCTTCAGCCGATTGGGTCAAGGTCTGGGGGCAGGTTCAGAGGTTCCGGGAGCTTCCGGTGTGGGTGGGTTCGGATGGGGGCGGGTTGCGGCGGGCAGCTTCCAGACAGGTTCCGGGTTGCGGCGCGCGTTCCGGACAGAGGTCGGGATCGGTTCGGCTGCGGATTTCGGCGTGGGTTCCAAAGCGGGTTCTTGCTTCAGGCTTGGGTACTGTAGCGGCGGCCACTTGTCCGGCTGCATAGCATGCCCTTGCGATGGGGTCTGTAGCGTGGGCCTCTTGGCGGCCGGTCTGTAGCGAGGCCTTGGTAGCGGCAGCGAGGTCCTGCTCGTACTTGCAGAGTAGCTCGAGCTCTTCGGCCTCTGCTCTAGCGGCGTCCTCCCGACGCGTAGCGGGAGCTGCGTTGACCTGGTCGAGCGCTGCTTGCGCAACCTTAGCGTCGTGCTCTGCCTTCTTCTTGCGGGCTAGCTCGGCTGCGATTCGCTCGGCCTCCTCTCGGGCCTTCTTTGCGGCCTCCTGTCCTTTGGAGGCCAAGCGGTTGGTTAGTCTCGGCCGACATAGCATCGACCTCGTCGTCGGTGAAGTCGGCCCAGCTTGTAACGCGCAGGGTCTTCTGCTCTAGCGCCCGGTTGACGCCTCTAGCCAGCCACTGTCTCGATTGAGGGCTAAGGGGGCCGGCCTAGCACGAGCCTGTTGCTCGGAGTACGTCATAGCGATCTTGGCGTCCTCATGCGTCCTCCAAGATAGCCAGTAGCTCGTCCAGCTGGACGTGGGTGAAATAGCGAGGAACTCTATCCTGTAGCTCTCCAGTTGATGAGGGTCTCTGGCAGAGCATTCTCCTAAGCGGGTTCATCTTTTTCCAGCCATTGCTAGCGGCTCCAAGGGCCGAGATCAGGTGGCGCGGGAGCAAATCCTCCAACCCGCTGCTTTTAGCTACCTACGTTGGTAGCCCGCTGCTGCGGGGCCGCACCTTAGCAACTGCAAGACCTAGCGCAAACTCAGACAGTTCATGTCCTTGGCGCGGGGGGCCGGAGCCTGATCATAGCAAGGCACGTGTCTTGCACACGCACACTCAACTCAGGCAGTGACGTAGCGAATAACTTCCTCAGCGAGGCAATGCCTCTTCACATGTTTAGCTTCAGCTTCCAGCCTGAATAGCAGTCCACGGGGGCCCGCTAAGATGTGCCAGTGGTTGTAAAGACGCCGTTGGTTGGGAGGCCGGTGCTAGGCCAGGCCCGATGAGCCGCTACAGGAACCTTTCCCGATAAACAAGCCCGAAGCTCCCCGCATGCTAGGTGGGTCGGGAAATCCCCGATTCTGCCGACAGCTACGCGGGGGGCAAGCCGTTCCATGATGGAGGGGGGTTATGCTCGCCTGGCTGGCCTCACCAGGAGCTGTGAAGATGGTTTCATTCTTCTGGCCAGCGATCGCGAGCTACAGGAACCTCTGGAAGAACCTCCTGCCCAGCTCATCCAAACCTTGCTAGAGGCGGCCGGCGATCCCGACCGCGACTTCCTCATCAGGCAAGCTGAGGAGGGTTTTGGACCCGGCCTGGAGGCCTCGCTAGCTTGGGTCCACAACTACCGGTCCGTGGAGGAAGACCACAGCGACTTCGCTATGGGTCTCATCATGGCTAAGATGTTGCTGGGGAGTTCCAGGAACGCTATGGGGAGCATACGGCCATCGCCGCGATGAAGCTTAGGACAAGAAAGGCATCATCCACGACGCTACTTATGGAGTGCGCGATTAACCACAGGATAAAGTGCCGGGACAAGATGCGCTCCCTGGGTACTAGAGAAAAGAAGCAGCTGCTACGTGAGCACGAGGAGGCCCGAGGAGGGGCTTCTCGGTGGTGGGGGACATTGCTAAGGCCCACCGCCGCTACAAGCACGCCGCTAAGCAGCACGGCCAGGTCGATACGCTAGGCGCCCGCTTCCCTGTCTGGACATGCGACGTATGCCGACGACCAGGAGTCCAAGATTTTCCTTTCAAGTGGGATAAGACGCGTGGTGGCTTCAGAGTGAATTGGCTAGACATGGAGACGGAGTACCTATAGGGTTTTTTGAAGGGAAGCTAGGCCAGCGGCCAGAGACTCGAATTCGCAGCCAACGGCTACAGAAACCCGAGCCGCTACTGGAGGACGCTGCGCCGCTCACCGAGAATGGCCGTGCCTGGATCGGCGGATTGCCGGAGCTGGTGGAAGGTTGCCAGCGCTCTTGGTTTTCGCCAGAGGTGAAGGAGAGTTGACCCCAACAAGGTGATCGCCGCGCTAGAGCTGCCCGAAGGCGACGCTAAGAAAACTTCAAGGGTGGCGATTCGCGGCTATACACCGACAACCAGTTGAACGAGGCGCTACTTCGGAAGGCGATGACCGCCAAGTTCCCTTCCACGCTAATCCTGACGGAGCTTCTGCGAAGAAAACTGTGAGATCTAGCTACAGTGGGCTAGGCGTGACGGCGTGACCTGAACCAGCTAGCCGACGACCTCACGAACGAAAACTTGAACTTAATTTCGGATAGACCTGAAGGGGGAAGCGCTAGAGTGGCGAGTGCTGTCGACTCCTCGACCATGCGACCAGCTACTTCGAGGAGCTGGGGAGGGTGAAGAGGACCAAGCAGACTCCAGCTATGAGGTTCTCGAAGAGAGCCCGTATGCTAGGCGCCTGGTAGCCCTTCGGCTTTGCTAGGAGATCAGCTAGCCGGAGGCTAGAGATTTTCTCCAGGCGACAGGGGACCTGCGCCATGCTGCTCAACAGAAGTGAGTGTCCGCACGAACGGTTATAGGGTTAGCTAAAGCTCCCGCTTAGATGCTACGAATTTTAGCGGTGTCTTGGGGTTGTGGCGGGTTGGGGTGGTGGCGGGTTTGGAAGTGCTAGCTAGTGTGCCGGATTCTACCGCGCTGAGCTTGATCTGTTCATGTTACAAAGGTCTGCGCACCCTTTTGCGTATGTGTTTGACAAGAAGACAGCTGCTCCAGC